TTGACAGCTTGAAGCCACGCAGAAGTGCTCAGAATTAAGGCCTGAAGAGTCTGTGGAGCACAGTTGTGGTGCTTTAGGATAAGCACTGGACTGCTAACCGCAAGGCTGGCAGTTCAAACCCACTTGTCACTCCTTGGAAACCCATACAGGGTTGCTATGAGTTGGAACCGATTCAACAGCATTTAACTGAAAGGTTGGCCATGGAAACCGGCTGCAGTGCTACAGAAGAAAGACGTGGCAACTCTGCTCCGTAAAGGTCACAGCTAAAAAAATCCGACAACGCAGTTGTACTCGGACTCGCCATGAGTCGGGTACAGGCATGCTGTGTAAGAATAGAGTGAGAAGATCAGGGTCCCTGACCCCAGACCTTGCTCAGTCAACCCTCCTGGCAGGAATCAGGGAGGCTTACAGGCTAAAGATCTATGGGAGTTGCAGAGGCCTGGACTTGGACAGTGCTAAGGGGAAGGACAGAGGAATAGCTAGCTGCAAGTTGGCCTCAGCTCCGGGCTGCTGGGTAAGAGAATGAGCCTTGGGCAAACTTGGCCCAGTACCTGGGAGATGAGTTTCCAGGCTTCACAACAAACCTCTGACATAGAGCCGGTAACTGCCATCATGTGACAGATGAAGAGACTGGAGGTGAGTAGCTACTTGTCAAAGTCCACACAGCCAGGAAGCACTAGTTCAGTGGGTGAGTCCGAGGCTCAGGAGACCTGAGTTCCTTGAATCCTGCCACCAATACTGTGTGTCCTGGAATCTGTCACTTTCCTTCTCTGAGCCCAATCTCCTTTATCAAATAACCAGAATTGATTGATTACGGAACTCACCGTCCCTCAGCTAGGTCTCCAGTGACACTGGGGCCACAATGAAGGTGGTGACACCCATGTCTCCTTCAGTACTTCCCTGGCCAGGTTCCAATACCAGCTCTCCTCCTTATTTGCTGTGTGGCCCTGGGTAGGAGACTTAACCTCTCTGAGCCTCCATTTCTTTATCTGTAAAACAGGGAAGAGGTCCAGTACTTCCCTTTTGTTACGTCCTAATTTAACAACAAGCCATAAAAGGAGTCCTGGTGTGAGGCTGTAAGATAAGCACTGGACTGCAAGATCATTTGAACCACAAGGTCAGTGGTTCAAACCCACCAGCCATTTCCTTGGAAACCTTATACAGGGTCACTATGAGTCTGAACCAACTTGACGGCATTTAACAACAACAAACCATTAAAAAAAAAAAAAAAAAAGTCCTATACAGGGTACCTATGAGTCAGAACTGACTTGACTACACTTCCCAACAACAAACCAAGTCTATTCCAACTCACAACGACCCTCCCTGGCAGACTAGAATTGTTCCTCAGGGTATCTGCGTCTGTAAATCCGTACTGGCACACCCAACTTCATCTTTCAACCATTGTAGTTAGCAAACCAACAACTAACCCACTACAGCACTAGTACTCAGAGAACGTTATTGCTGGCTATTAAATTGAACTGACTCTCAGTCACATTAACTCTACTGCCCTGTACGATTTCCAAGACTAAATACTCATGGGAGATCACCAGGTCTTTCTTCCGCGGAGCTTCTGTGCAGGGTTCTAACGTTCAACCTTTCAGTTGGCAGCCAAGCACTTAATCACTGCGCCACTATGGCTCCTTTAGAGAACTGAAGGAGCAAGTAACAGACATTCCAGCCCCTCTGCCTGACACATTACAGCACTATCGGACCCTAAGGGGGAGCTAGGGAGGACACTGGTCACTTGCCGACCACCCACTGTGACCTGACTTTCACATGCGCCACCTCCTGGATCCTCACAGCCCGTTTCACAGAAGGAGAAAGCGAGGCTCTGCCAAGCGCTTACTGTGTGTCCAACCCCGGGGCCTCCCAACCCGAACGGCGGCCCCTGCGGTCCCAAGGGAGGCCGAGGCTGACGCTCCGAGTCCAGCCGCCGCGCGCGAGGGGCCTCGAACCCAAGCCGGCCCATGGACAGGCAGCCCTTGTCCCCTCCTGGAGTCCCGGCCTACCTGCTCCACGGCCGGGCCGGGCGGCCGCGCAGGACCCTCTGCTCGCCCTGGCCCCTTTCCCGGCCCGGCCCGTCCCGTCCCGTCAGCGCCGCTCTGCTCCGCTCCGGCCGGCACCTGCGTCCGGGCACCGCCCGCGAGCCGACGGCGCCGCCAATCAAGGACAACCAACTCGCGCCCGCTCTTGCCAGTCGCCGCTCACGTCCCGCCCTAGGAGGCGGGGCCGGAGACGACAGGGACGTCCCGGGCCGCACAGGCTCCGCGGCGCCGCAGCTTCTGGCTCCTCCCCTGTCGCGTCCCGGCCCCGCCTCCAGACCTAGCCCTGCCCCATTCCTGCTGCCACCAAGAGAGCGGCTGGAGGCGCCACCTGCCGGCGCCCTGCGCTTGAAACGCCTCATAAAATCGGGAACATCTGGCAAAGTAGCCATTAAAGTATTGATCACTTCCCTCACGCTTCTCATCAATCGTGGGGGAGGGAGAGACCGTGTAATTAAACTTTGTTGTTGTTAAGTGCCGTCGAGTCGATTCCGACCCATAACGACCCTGTAGAAGATTTCCAAGGAGTGACTGGTGAGCTTTAACCACCAACCTTGCAGTCTAGTGCATTAACCCATAGCGCCACACTGGACTCCTTTGGTGGTGGTGGTGTGCCTTGGAGTCGGTTCTGACTCATAGAGACCCTATACAGGATTTCCGAGGCTGTCAATCTTTACTGGAGCAGAACGCCTCATCTTTCTCCCGTAGAACAGCTGGTAGTTCGAACTGCAACCTTGAGGTTAGTAGCCCGATTCTTAACCACTACGCTACCAGAGCTCCTTTGTTGTTGTTGTTAGGTGCCATTGAGTCGATACCGACCTATAGCGACCTTATGCACAGCAGAACGAAACACTGCCCAATCCTGGGCCAACCTCACCACTTTTGCCATACTTGACTCCATCGATGCTGCCCCATGGCTAATCCAACTCGTTGGGGGTCTTCCTCTTTTTCTCTGACTCTCCACCTTACCAAACATGATATCCTTCTCCAGTGACTGGTCCCTCCTGACAATGTGTCCAAAGTATGAGAGACGAAATTTGGCCACCTTGGCCTCCAGGGAGCACTCTGGTGCACTTCTTCCAAAACAGATCTATTGGTTCTTTTGGCAGCCCAAGGCACTGTCAATATTCTCCTCCAACACCGTAATTCAAAAGCATCAATTCTTCTACGGTCTTCCTTATTCACTGTCCAGCTTTCTCATGCACATGGGGTTATTGAAAATACCATGGCTTGGGTCAGGTGCACTTTAGTCCTCAAGATGACATCAAGCTGACAAGATGGCGGATCAGGTAGCCGTGCAGTAAGAAGCTCTGTCCGCAGCAACACAGAATACCAGACCAAGCAGGCTCAGGAGATGGTGCTAGAACTCTAAACCACATATAAAAGAGCTCCTTTACAGAGGAGTAAATAGAGGCCTAAGAAGGGTATGTTAGGTTATACATGCAAAAGCTGGACAGTGAATAAGGAAGATCGTAGAAAAATTGATGCTTTTGAGTTATGGTGTTGGAGGAGAATATTGAAAGTGCCATGGGCAGCCAAATGAACTAACAGATCTGTTGGAAGACGTGCAGCCAGAGTGCTCCTTGGAGGCCAAGACGGCCAAACTTCGACTCTCAGACTTCAGACATATTGTCAGGAGGGACCAGTCACTGGTCCCTGGTTTGGTAAGGTGGAGGGTCAGAGAAAAAGAGGAAGACCCCTAGTGAGGTGAACTGGCAAAGTGGCAGCATCAATGGGCTCAAGAGTGGCAACAATTGTGAGGTTCGCCCAGGACTGGGCAGTGTTTTGTTCTGTTGTATGAGTCGGATACCGACTCGACAACACCTAACAACAACAACAAAGAAGGTTAGAGGGCTGTAGAGGAAGTTGAAAGTCAAGTCATTCATTCAACAATCATTCATTCATCCATTTGTGCGCTGTCAAGTCAGTCGCGACTCATAGCGACCCTTTATATAGGATTTTTGAGGCTATAAATCTTTACAGGAGTAGAAATGCCTCATCATTTTCCCATGGAGCAACTGGTAGATTCGAACCGCTGATCTTTGGGTTAGCAGTAATTGTTTGTTATGAACAAAGCACTGTGCTGGGCTATGTGGACAGAATATGGAGTAAGACAGACATACTGCTGGTCTCACAGTGGTGTTCATTTAGGTTAATCAATCACAAAATGAATGATAAATTGTGGCAAGTAAGGGGACACATTTTAGGAGAACCTGGAAAAATGGGGCTATCTGGCAATATAATATTGCTGTGAAGAAAAAGCAATTAAGGTGCTCTCCAAGGCTTTGCTGCTAAGTCAGTTCTGACTCATAGAGACCCTGTGTAGGGTTTCCAAGGAGCACCTGGTGGGTTTGAGCCATCAACCTTGTGTTTCAAACTGACCTTGTGGTCCAGTGCTTTAATCCCCCAGCGCCACACCAAGACTCCACAATCTGAGGCATCCATGAAATGAACATTATCTAGGAGAAAAAGAGAGAAAGGCAGAGGGTTCCCCTTCAAAGACCCAAAAGTAGGATGGAGAACTGTCCTAGCACTCCATTCCCCCACTGCCCTTCACTTTTATAAAATATACAGATCACCTTCATTATCTCAATTAGGTGCCTGGTGGGGCAAATGATTTGCTCTTGACAAGGAACCAAAGGTTGATGGTTTGAACCCACCCAGGAGTCTTGGTGTAGTGCTGTGGGTTACTGCGCTGTACTGCAAAGTCGGTTTGATTCTCAAGGTCAGCAGTTCAAGCTCACCAGCTGCCCCTTGGAAACCCTATACAGGGTCCTTATGGGTCAGAACCGATTTGACGGCACTTAACAACAACAAGAAGCACAGAGTAAAGTACTGAAGAATAAAGACCTGGCAACCTGCTTCCATAAAGATCACAGCCAAAAGAACCTTACTCTGTACCACATGGGGTCTTTGTGAGTCAGGACTGACTCCATGGCATCAGGTTTGATTTTTATTACTTCAAATTCTGGTGTGCTGTACTGGTTTTTATATGTTTTGAATGCAAAGATAAACCTCACTGTTACTTTGTGCTTTGTTTTGTTATATAAATAGTAACCTATGTTGTTGTAGTTAAATGCCTTGGGGTCGGTTCCGACTCATAGCGACCCTGTACAGGGTTTCCGAGGCTGTAAATCTTTCCGGGAGCAGAAAGCCTTATCTTTCTCCCGCGGAACAGCTGGTAGTTTCGAACTACTGACTGTGAGGATCGCAACCCGATTCGTAACCACTACACTACCAGAGCTCCTTATAGTAACCTATAGAAGGAAGGAATAAGGATAGTGAGGACAAGGATAGAAGCTAGACTTCTAAAAGTATATCTTGTTTTGGAGCTTTGACTTCACAATTAAGCAAGTATTTTGTGTAATTATGAAACAAAATAAAAAATTATAAAGAAGTCCCTAAAAAGAAAAAATGAAACAAATGGACCCATGTATCCAATTGGCCACTGCTCATCTGTCTGTCATACTGTGGTGGCTTGTGAGTTGCTGTGATTCTGAAAGGTATGCCACCGGTATTTTAAATAACCAGCAGGGTCACCCATGGTGGACAGGTTTCAGATGAGCTTCAAGACAAAGACAGACTAGGAAGAAAGAGTGACGAATTACTTCTGAATCTTTAGTCACTGAAAACGTTATGAATAGCAGAGAAACACTGTCAGATACAGTGCCGGAAAATGAGCCCCTCAGATTGGAAGGCACTCAAAATGCAACTGGAGAAGAGATGTCTCCTCAAAGTGGAGTTGATGTGAATGGAGTTAAGTTCGTGGGAGAAAAGCCCACAGAACCTTCATTTGCTGATGGGGCACAACTCAAAATGAGGAAAAACAGCTATAAACATCCACTGAAAATCAGAACATGGAATGTACGAAGTATGAATCTGGGAAAATTGGAAGTGTCAAAAATGAAATGGAACGCATAAACATCAATATCTTAGGCATTAGTGAGTTGAAATGGCCTGGTATTGGCCATTTTGAATCTGACAACCACATGGTTTACTATGCAGGGAATGAAAAATTAAAAAGGAATGGTGTTACATTCATCATCAAAAAGAACATATCCAGAGAACAAACAAGATGGCGGATCGGGTGGATGTATAGCAGACAGCTCCGCCAACAACAACACAAAATACCCGACC